ATAGTCGTCATCGTCGTCACTGCCAATTTTAGTCTCAGTCGCTTTCGTTGTCAAGTGATTGGACGTGGCGATGGCCTGAAAGCAGTCAGTCAGTCATCGATCGCAGGAGCGATGGAATATCCTGCGCGACTTCCTACGAAATATCGTGGGAGGTAAGAACACCGGCACTCACCTTCGAGAAGCCTCTGCAGTATTGTCAACTCGATTAGAGATCGAGGCTTTCGTTCTTGTTACTCGCTTATTGAGCATCTTTGATTCCATATCGCGGGTAGTGCAGTAATTTTGGTGTTGTGTGATTGTGGTGTCTGAGAAATGAGGTAAAGGTGAGGGACATCTTCAGTCACTTCAGACAGGAGTGGAAAGAGTCACCCTGCTACCTAGAACCGTATACGTCAATATGATCACACTACAATCTCTGCAATCTCCAGCTTCTGTTTGATCGTGTTTATTCCATCAAGCCTCGTGCATCTGGTCAAATGCCATCAGTGCTACCATCAGAACAAAGCAGTAGTGATACAGCGCACATACAGTGCTCTACTTCGCCAGCGAGCGAGCGGTTCATTCATGCTTCAGCTCGCTCACCTCTCCTCATCATCTCGGCCCATTGCCCTTCGTATCCAGACGCGCAGCCTTTTCTTTCTTGTTCCCCGAGCGCTATGCCGCGCTTACTGCGTTAGCAGTGGCATGTCACTAGAACGCCAAACTCCATGCAGTGTGCCTTTTCATCCCATTCATGCCTCCTGTTCCCTTTGTTGCCTACCCTTGCCGCCACCTCGTCGGTCGCCGCCCTTGCCCCTGTTGTCGCCGTCCTTCTTGCCATCGCCAGCAAGAGGGTCGCCACCGCCCATGGTGAGCGCGGCGGTTGCGAGACGGTTCGAGAGATCGATTTGTGTGCGAATAGTGTTGGCGAGGTATGATACGACGAGGACGTCTTGGATGTGTGCGTTGCTGTGCTTGTTAGCATATGTCTGGAAGTATGGATGATTCTGACGTACAAGTCGCGCTCAATGTCGGCGGGCTCGACCTTGGGGGCCAGGCTGAGTGCGTTCATCAGGAACTGGCCCAGCGCGGACGATGGCTCGGCCTCCTCGTCCAGCACGTTGTTGACGTAGTTGGAGACGCGCTCGAGCATGTCCAGGACGTGTGTGATGGCCGTCTCCAGCGAGTCGAGGTCCGTCATGACGTCCTGCGACCGGTCCTCGCGGTCTTTGGCGGACGAGATGAGCTCCAGGCCTGACCGCTCGGCCTCGCCGTACTTGATCTCGTGGGGCACGGGGATGAAGAGGCACGAGTCGGCGGCGCGCTCGGCGGTGACGCCAATGGGGGCGGAGATGTACGTCTTGGACTCGATCTCCTGGCCGGGGACGGTGGAGACGGTCAGGTGGACGGCGGGGTGGGGCCATGTGCCGTCGCCCTGCTGGCTGTAGAAGTTCTGGATGAGGGCGGAGAAGGTGTTGAGGTCGCTGCTGGTGGCGTACCAGCCGACGAGGACCTCGCGGGGGTTAGCGCGCAGGTGCAGGGCGAGCATCTGCTTCTGGTAGTCCATGTCGACCTCGACCTGCTCTTGCGTCTCGGTGTGGGGGACGGCATAGCAGTTGCGGATCTCGATCTCGGTGCCGTCTTCGCTGCGGGTGCCGAGGAGGGTGCCGATGACGCGCTCTTGCTCGGCGGGGCGGCGGAGCGAGTGGTCGAGGATGGAGAAGACGGCCTAGCAGATGGTGTCAGAGAGTAGAGCAGGCAGCCTCGACCGTGGCTTGTCGCATACCTGGGGCTGGATGGCGACGTTCAGCGGGGCAGTCGACGGCTGGGTGCCCATCGAGGCGGGGCCGAGCGGGCGCGCCAGGTGCAGGAAGGAGTCGTTCTCGGCCATGGTGGCGGTGGTGATGGCGATAGGTTCTTGTTTGGTGGGCGTGGTGTTGAGGCGCTCGGGACGTCAAATGTGGTTGGTGGGGCACGCAGCGATATTCTTCACGAAATCTGGGCAGGGTGCGTTCGCTTGCACGGACCATCTGAACTTTTTCGCGGCGCGGAGTTAACCTACGAAGTATCTCAACGGGACGATTCTACCTCCCACATCCATATACTTCTCTTCTCTCTCTGCGCAAGAGCTGGTCGCAACCTCTATCCAAATTCACTACTCATTGCGAAAAGACCCGCACCTTGCATCAAGCTCCCTTCGCATCGGCGCATACACCGCGCACGCGCAACCGACATGGCGCCCATGAGAGGACGAGGCGGCGCTCGTGGAGGAGCAAGGGGCGGCAGTAGAGGCGGCAGAGGCGGCGGAATGGGAAGGAGCAGAGGCGGCATGCGAGGTCGTGGAAGAGGTGGAAGCAGAGGCGGATTTGCCGCAGCGAGAACACGAGACGAGGTCGAAGATTCGTGAGTACGGATATTGGTCGCAGGCACATTAGTCCAATCCTAACAGTACCAGAAGCATGCCCATGCGCGAACCCACCCCATCCGACGAGAGCGAGTCCGACGTATCAGAAGACGATGTCTCGGACGAAGAGGAAGAAGAAGCGCAACCCATCTCGAACGCCTATGCGACTCTTCTGCAGTCTTTCTCGTCGCGCAATACTGGTTCGGAAGAGCATCGCAAGAAGAGGCGGAAGCTGGAGCACGACGAGCCTGAACAGGAGGTCGAATTGGACGACGATGCTGAATCTACCACCCTGGAAGGCGACGAGGCGGAGGACGAGCAGGCAGAGGTTGATAATGATGAAGACGTGGACGATGAAGACCAGGAAGAGCAGGAGCTCGAGCAGGCCTACCAGAAGCACTTTGCGAACCCCGATGAGAATGAACTAGCCGCGCGACTCAAGCGGATAGCAGCCAACCAGTGGACATCACAGAAGCTGGATCGAGCATCCGGAAAGGGCGTCGGCATACTCCAGGTCCCCAGCGACGAGGTCAAGCCGAACCGGAAGCTGAGAAGTGTACGCGACGTCCAGCTGAAAGCGCGACTCGTGGACAACGCACAGAAGAAGGTCGGCGCTTTCGATGAGCTGGAACAAGCCATCGCACCCTCAATCTTCGGCTACCAAGACCTCCTCTTCGGCGCAAGAACAGTCCAAAACGCCAGCCGTCTCCGCGACATCACCTGTCTGCACGCCCTCAACCACATCCTCACAACCCGCGACCGCGTCCTCAAAAACAACGCCAAGCTATCCACATCCAAAGACTCCTCCGACCCCTCCATCGAATACCGCGACCAAGGTTTCACGCGCCCCAAGATCCTCTTCTTGCTCGAAACAAAACAAGCCTGCGTCCGCGTCCTCGACTCCCTAACCTCCCTCCACGCCTTCGAACAGCAAGAAAACAAAAAGCGCTTCCTAGACTCCTTCTCCGCTCCTGAAGACAAGTTCTCACCCGACCGCCCCGCCGACTTCCGCGAACTCTTCGAAGGAAACGACGACAACGAGTTTCGTATCGGCGTAAAACTCACGCGGAAGACGCTCAAATTCTACTCCACATTCTACAACTCAGACATCATCTTCGCATCCACCCTCGGTCTGCGGCGCGCCATCGAAACCGGGGACCCCAAAAAGAAACAAGGCGACTCCGACTTCCTGTCGTCCATCGAAATGGTCATCATGGAACAAGCCGACGCAGCGCTAATGCAAAATTGGGAACACGCAGAATACGTTTTCGAGCACTTGAATCTCCAGCCGAAAGATGCGCATGGCTGCGACTTTTCGCGCGTGAGGAGTTGGTATTTAGATGGGCATGCGCCGGTGTTCAGGCAAACAATCATTCTATCCGCATTCCTAACACCGAAGATGAACACCCTCTTCAACAAACACATGCGCAACTACGCCGGTCGCCTGAAATACGTACCAGACCACACGGCCGGACTTATCGAGTCACTCTCCTGGGGTATAAAACAGACGTTCACGCGGTTCGACTCCCCATCACACCTCACAGACCCTGATGCAAGGTTTAAATTCTTCACGAACTCGGTCTTGCCGGGTATTAGCCGGTTACCTAAAAGCCCGGATGGCGGGTTGGGCGTATTGGTGTTTATACCCAGTTATCTCGATTTCGTGCGCGTCAGAAACTCACTTGTGGATTCGGATGTCGCATACGCATCTATTAGCGAGTACACCGATGCAACCGACGTCCGCAAGGCGCGGTCTCATTTCATGAACGGCAAGCATTCCCTATTACTATACACCGGCCGCGCGCACCATTTCCACAGATACAACATCCGCGGCGTGAAGCGCGTGGTGTTTTACGGGGTACCTGAGAACCCGGTGTTCTACGACGAGGTTGTGGGTTTCGTAGGGAAGAGCATCGAGAGGGCGGAGATTAGCAGGGCGGAGGCGAGTGTTAAGGTGTGTTTTTCGCGGTGGGAGAGGATGGAGTTGGAGAGGGTTGTTGGGGGGAAGAGAGTGGGGAGGATGGTGAGTGATAAGGGGGATGTTTTTGATTTTGTGTAGATGGGTGTATGTTGTGGATTTGAGGATATGGATGAGATTTGTGCTGCAGATGTTGTGAGAGATAGTACAACTTTTCTCATTGAGGAGGTATCAAGAAGCTATCTCAACCTTCATACACTCACCGAATCCCTCTACGCTGCAACATCTCACGGTCGCAGGTAGACGACGTGGTGTCTTACCACGTTGTTGTCATCCTCGCTCTCGTCCTCTTCAACACTTCCGTACCGTTCATCTCATCCACCATCCGCGCAGCCACAGGTTGACATGACCGGGTAGGTGGGGGAGGCGGAGGGGAGGTGGAGAGTTGGTAGTAGAGGTCTCGTCTACTACATGCTCACGTAATGCCATTGTGTGAGATTTGTTTCGTTCGTCTTACAGCCGCCAGTTCCAGCATCACCAACTCACGGGTTCTCGTTGTATGAGTTTTTGTAGCAGTATTTCTTGTATCCGGTCGACAGGTGTGTCTGACAATCTTTTAGGCAGATAGTACAACTCTCTCATCTTAGAGGGTTCCGAAAGCCATCGTACACTCACTTCTCTCCTCTTCGTTCCAACATCCTAGGTCCGGACAACGACAACATGCTGTCTGTTGAGATTCTTTTCATGCTCTCTCCTCACAACATTCTTGGCGTCATCGTCCATTTCCAACGCATTTGTGACGTTCATCCCGCTCACCATCTTCGCAGTCACCGGCTTGACTTCGCCAACCCAAGGATCCTTCGCGACGTAGAAGAGAAGGTACGGCAGACTGGCCCCTGGCGGTTTGAACAGCCTCACCTTCTCGATGTACCGATTACCACCGAGCTGGTCCTTGTGCTGGAGAAGGAGATAGCCCGCCCATCGTCCCACCGGCGAACCTGTTGTCTCATTAGCACACGCAACCCTTTCCATATTCTGATCGTCCGAGTAGGGGTAGTGCCAACATACCCAGTATAGCCAACCCCCCCTTCCCCCCCTTCCCTTTCCCATCCATCACAAACTCATGCCCTGGCCACACCTTATACTCACTCTCCGGCGGCTCCAGCAACCCCAGCGCATGCCGAAAGATCTCCCTACTCCCCGCATTCATCACCTGCGTCACAAGCAGGTACTTGAGGCCAGCCAAATTCGCTGCGCCGACGCGGTTCCACATGGCCCACCCGATGTCCTGTGTCGTGCCTATGTCGGGCAGTTCAGAGGGGAGGGGCGTGCGGAACCAGGTGTATGTTTTTGCGGAGTAGGTCATGGACATGATGTTCATGAGAGCGAGGAGGCCGGAGGGGTTGGCGGCGAATTCGTAGGATGCGCCTGTGGCCTTGGGTGTGTATGTTAGCCTCGGTTTTCATGGCGGTTGAATGAGGGTAGAGTGTACTCTGTATTCCCTCCCGCAAACATCATAATACTGCTTCGCCTCATTCGGCAACTCCCCCTTCTCATCCCTCTTAATCGCCGGCCCATCCCTATGATTAACCTTGAAACACCGATTCGGCCCCCCATCCTTCGCCGCCCTGGTATCCATTCCGATCTCGTCAAACGCCGCTTTGATCTTATGATACGCATCGAAGTCGCACTCGTTCTTTATCTTCTCGCTCAGAGCGTCACTGTCATCGAAACCCCACTTCGCGAGGTCGGCACGCCCGTCGCCGGTGAACGGGGACTGGCATGTTTCGGCGTACTGGGGGAAGTCTTTGAAGAGCCAGCGTGCGATGTTGTCTTTGGATTTCATGGCGGAGTCGAGGGTTTGGCCCGTGGAGACGGCTTTGTCGTATTTGGCGTTGGGGGGTGGGGGGTCGGCGGTGGTGTGGACGGTGGAGGGATCAGATGTCTCGGCGGCATGGTGTATGAGTGTGTCTTTGAGGGAGGCAGAGTAGGTGAGGTTCGTGAGTGAGATATCGGTGGGAGGGAGGACGTGTGTCGAAGCCAGTGTCGCGAGCACTGCGATGGTGAGGATGTGGAGCTTCATGCTGGAAGCTGGTGTGGTTGGTGCTGGTGAGTGAAGGCTCTGCAAACAAAGTGAAGGGAAAGCATTGTGTCGGTGGCGGCGGATACGCTGCGGTGAGAGCAAACGCGCTCTTCGTTGGCGAGTGAGGTGAGAGCGACCCGTCGAAGGAAGGTGCGGCCAACATCAACATTCGACGGCAGTATCGTCTAATCGGTAGGAGGCCTGTGCCTAGGTATGCTGCATTCCGATGCGTAGTGACAGTGACCAGTATGTAGCATTAAATGAGTTGCGCAACGAGGTGAAAGTCCGGGTTCACGACTTCCACAACATGGAATCCTCACTCCACTGCGCAATCATACTCGAACCACAAGAAGACTAGGGAATGCAATTCGCGTACTTCCACCTCTTGCTTCCCATCTATCAAACTAAAGCATCACCTCCCGCGTCTGATCCAGCATAACTTCTCTCCTTTTTCTTCTTCACCTTAGCCACTCTATCGCGATTGCATCACAATAGCAACCAAATGTCTTGACCGCTCAACATATACTTCGACCACAGCGGTACCATCAAGCCTGTCTTATCACCTCATACAAGAACAAAAAGCTAAACACGTCTGCAAACTACATCAAGACAAAAACATGCAAAGTCAGTGCCGTAACGTTAATGTAGGCTCTAGGCTCACATCACATCCTATCGACCCAACAGAAACCTTCACAACTTCCCCTCCAACCCCCCCTTCTCCGCACCAAAAGGCACAGCAACATTCTTCTCCGCCCACTCCTTCTCCGCCTCCGTCCCCGGCATCGGCGGCACCATCCCATTCACTTTCCACAAATCCCTATCCACATCTTCACAACTATACTCCCAATCATACCCTTTATCCGCGATAAACGGTTTCAGCGCCTTATCCACGGCATCCATAAAGCGGTGTTTGTGCTCGATTGAAGTACTATTTCTAGTCAGCCCCGAACATCCACGAGTTATATACACTAGGTAGGCATGTAAGTACAATTGCCTAGCAAGATGTTCCATCTTAATCCGTATCATGGGGACTGAGCTATCGCGGCCGGGCTTGTTTGCTTCGCTGTTGGGTGAGGGGCGGGGTACGCCGCCGATGAAGAAGGATTCAGGTTGGATGGGCTGGAAGAGGACGTTTACGTAGAATCTAGGGAGGCCGACGATGGTGTAGAGTTTTGTGATTTCGTTTGCGAGGGCGGTTTTATCGGGGAGCGAGGTGAAGGTGTTGGGTGGGTGGTAGATTATCCAGAGAGGCATTGCTGTGGTTGACGGGTGGGTACGAGGCTTTGAGTTGGGATTTACTTGGGAAATGTTGTGGGAGAAGGCGTTGTGTTGGTTGTCTGGATATCGGGTATACTACGAAGCTTATATAATATCCAAATCCATTCATGCCGACGATGTAGGTTTACCTAGGTAGGCTACACGTGATTTGGGATAGTAATCACGACCGAGTGGTTACTAAGGGCTGCGCTAATCATGCACCGCATTGGGACTAACAAGAAGACGTAGATCTTGGTACACCGCGCAAGAACGACTAATCATGAACCATGGCGGTCTTTTGGGCTTCGCTCTTAGATCCGAACTCTTTGAGCGATTAACTTTGGGTGTAACCATCATGGTGATTCATCGTTGCATGGGAACGTGATTTTGTGGGAGTTTATTCCCCCGCATGTTGTTACTAGAAGGAAATCACTAGTACTGGATAGCAGTTTCGCGACTAGCGTGATTGGTAGACTACTATTACGTCCGTAACAATCGTTGGCTTGCCCGCGTTGAGGTATGCGGCTCTGTTCTACAACGGACCCGCGTTCACAACTCCGCCACAACCCTTCGTACGACTTCATCGAGATCTTCCTCTTGCAGCCCTAGCAGATTATTCGCAAAGCCTTCCTTCTCTTTCCAGTCCGCAGCGACCACTCCCCACACTGCAACGACCTCCTCCCTTGCCTCACCATCTCCACTCAGCATCTTCGGCCGAGAAACATCCAACTCTTCCTTGCTGTTCTGATCGATGCGCTCGAACTTGTCGCCTGTAGCCTTCTCCAGCGCAGCAATAACCTCGAGTTGAGTGACATGGTGGCTGTGAACGTAAAGTAGCTTGTTCGCTGTTTCATCTGGCTTCTCCAGGATCTTGATGACTGCTTTACCGATGAAGTCCAGGTTTGAGGCGGAGAACTTGATGTTGCCGCCGTCGAGAATGTATGCTTTGCGAGCCTTGACGTCGAACTTCAGTAGACCGCAGGTCATTCCCCAATCGAAGAAGTGACCCGTGACAAGACTCGTCCAGGTAAGCGTTCCCATGCCATCTTCCCGCTCCTTGCCCTCCAAAGTCAAGAGGTAATCTCGGACGTCCTTCTTGCCCTTCATGAGTGGCAGAATCTCATTCGTCTTATCATCTGCAGAGTCGCAGCTGCCGAACTCAGCGGGCATCACTCGCTTCACGCCACCTTTGAACGCAGCGTCGATGAGCTTCTTCTGCGATTCGACATGGCTTCCTGCAATGGTGATGACGAGGGCGTCGATCTTATTCTCTCGCAGTACTTTGGCGACTCCATCAACGTTCAGGTCATCGGGAACTGTGATGACCTTTGTCTTGGGGTAGACGGATTTGGATGTCTGGCGGTTGAGGACGAAGATGTCGAATTCGGAGGTTTTGAGCGCGTTGAGCACGGGTGCGCCGAGTGTGCCTGTGCCGCCGATGAGGGCGACGTTGGTGATACTCATTGTGTGGTGCGGTGTTGATATATGTGAAGGTTGCGGGGTGACTCGCAGACGTCCGCTTTCTTGGGGAAGGGGCGATCGGCTATGGGCGCCTAGTCACGGTCCTACCTAATCATGGAGAGGCATACATCACGTCTTCCGAACGCGAGATCGTACATTGCGCAGCTTGAATCTCTATACGTGCGTGATCAGGTGAGTCCGCTATACCGATGGCGATACCGCGTTCGCGTGGTGACGTCGATGATGTCATGGCACCTTCTGATGGCTACGTCGCCTGCTGTCGCGCTCTTGCAATACCAGCACTTGCAGTGTCGTCGCCAACACTTCACTTCATAGCACGCAGTTGCTGTGCTACACTCGCGTATACGCCCAATGACTGAACACCCTATCCTGGTCAGTAGTCATGTGTCGACTGCGCCGCATTGCATCTTGAGCGCGCGGGTGCGGGGCGAACGCGACTTCGCACGGAATCTCAACAGTCCGCCGATTGATCTTCACAACCTGAGAGCCGCTTCTTTCCAGTTTCCAGCCTGGTGGCTATCTCAGTGATACTAGCAGCGTGTCACAGAGCTGATGTCGCCCACTGCGCATACCTGTAGTCTCGACTGCCTTCAATCGATTTATCGCCGGCCATATATCAACGTCACGTCTGCACATTAAGATGGAAGATCAAGAACCGCCCTACCAGTATCCGCCAATAAGCGCAAGCGAGGAGATCCGCGTCCTTCGTCTACAACCAGGCGCGTTTGCTGGACCCCTCATCGGCAGCCTTGTGGTGCGAAAGATCGGGAATGACGAGGAAAACCCACCGGCTTACAATTGCGTTTCCTATTCTTGGGGACGGCAAGAGCACTTCACATCTTTCGCATGCGACGGTCAAATCCTGCGCATCACGGTCGCAGTTGATGAGATGTTGCGACATATGCGGCAGGCCATGGAACTGTGTGATCTATGGGTAGATGCTAGTATGTATCGATGTATGCTGCAACGCACCATGTATCCTGACCAGTGCCATAGTTTGTATTAACCAGGCTGATAGTGAAGAGAAAAGCAAGCAAGTGCGTACCATGGATAGAATTTATGCCTTAGCTCACTCGGTACGGATCTGGCTGGGCTCAGCGACGGACGAAGAGGTTGATTCTGTATGGCCAATGTTCAGCGCCAGCTCCGACGACTCGTATTACGAAAATTGCGCACAGGTCGACAAGAGAAAAACCTGGCTACATGGTTTTGAGGAAACGACTTCAACCTCTCAGTTCTTGAAAAGCTTCTTCCATCGAGCTTGGTTCACAAGACGATGGATCGTGCAAGAGGTGGTTCTTGCCCGTGAGGTAATCGTTCATTACGGGCTTCACGAAGTTACATGGTATAGATTTTACCGGGGTTCGCGCATACATTACCTAGTTCTTCAAGAGCAGTGTAAGGTTCATGTTTGTGATCTTGCTACTGTGGTAAACCAGGTCTTCGATACTATTTTAAGCTTGGAGAACTCCAGGCTTCAAAGGAAAGAGCATGTTTGGTTTAAGGGAAAGCGCCCAGAAACTCAGATGGAGAAAGCATTGCAGCTTCTGGAGTTATATCATACAGCTGAATGTGTCGACGAACGGGATCGCCTGTATGCATTGTATGGCCTCTCATTGAGCACAAGACTGCCCGCTGAACAAGACCCCAAATTGACGCGGCTGTGCCCTGTGGACTACAGCAATCACTTCTCGCACATCTATACGAATTTTGCCGTCGCTGCGATAGAATCTGGTCATCTTTACAATGTTCTCGCAAACGCGATCGAATTCGGAACACTCTCCCAGCAAAATGAAGGCTGGCCTTCTTGGGTACCAAGTTGGAATTTGAAGAAGAAGCTAGACGAAACCGAGAGTTGGCTCAAATTGGTCGTGCACAATCCTCGATTTGGGCCGAATGTCCGCGTCCCTCCCAAACTTCGCTTTCCAAAATGGACGGAAGATGAAGCCAAGCATAGCCAAGAGTACGCGACTAGAGCACTTCATCTCCGTGGTTCTATTCGTCGCATTTGCGAGGCTCAACCGAGCACCTGCAGTCTGGACGTGCTAGCGTATCTAGACACTATGCTCGATCGTCAATGTGTTGGACACGCCCTCGCAATGTCCAGATACATTGTGGCGTGGCTAGTGATGCTCGTTCTCTCACAGAACAGCAGAATATTGTCACGACCAGGCCTCGATCAAAAGACCTACTTAACTTTCAACCCATCTGCCCAGAAAGTGTATGCGGAAATGGACACCAATACATATATAGCTTTGAAGAAAGTTCTCGGGCTGCCTCTGGGAGAGTCTACAGAATGGGAGTACGACTTAGACCAAGACAAGTTTCTGTCCGAAGTGAGGCGGACGCTGCAAGGCCTCTATCCATTTCGCTATAACCACGATGGATTTCCGGCGTTCGGTATCGCCTTTGCAGAAGTAAAGACAGGCGATTTTGTGTTCCGCACCGCTCAAGTAGCCAGTCATAAGAATGAACAGGGAGACCCTATGCCTCCGGTCGGTGGGTTCATAATACGGCCTTATCATCAAGCGAGCTCTGTAGGCCCTGCCACTTTCCGTCTTGTTGGCATGTGCTTTGCCCACTATCCCGACATGAAGGATCCAGAATTGGTCGAAGTTGTCTTGGTGTAGGGGATACAGGCTGAAATAGGTATGAAGACATGGTCGGGAGTTGCTGAAGGCCTCTGTGCTCCCTAAAAGCACCATGACGAACATACTAAAAGGAGACGTTTTATCATTGCAGTCAACGATATGTCGGAATAGGAAGTCTTGCAGCATCGGGGCACAGTATCCAGGGCAAAAGCTGAACAGGTGCTCTGCCATCTACACTGATATGTAAGACGAAACCTGACAGTCTTTTGAAGCAATGTAGACTTCAACTCAATTGTAGTCCTGTTAAGCTGCCACGGTGGGGCTGAATACTCGTTGGTATGAAGAAACGGCAATGGAAGAGGATGCGTTGAGACATGAGATCAAGCGGTGACCCGCCGAACACTCCAGCAAACTTCCTCAAAGCTATCACGAAGATTCCATACACCAGATTACAACTTTCGTGGCCGGCCTAATTCTAGGACCCTGCTGCAGTCTGAGTCAAAAGCGCGTTCTCTTCCTGGTTGCGACGAGTCGTGGGGGATATGTCCACAACGGCGATGGCAACGGCGATGGCGATTGCGACAGCGACAAAGATGAAGCGAGCGCCGCAGATGCGCCGGTATTGACATCACCAGGCGTGAGAATCTTTCGTCACGATGCGATCTCACAAGATCCAGGTAGCAGCGCGTGATGCGCAGAATCAGAATTGCGATAGGCGATATTCCTTCTTTTCAACATGAGTATTTGGTGTTCTCGATGCTTGGGAGCATTTCAGCGGTGTTCAATCCGGAGCGTGCATCGGGGCACCCACGTGCCGACGCAAGTTGCATCGAAAAGCACGGGCGAAACCGGAGACGGAAGACCGCCCGGGACCGCGATAAGCTTCCAAGGTTTAGCCCTCCACGCAATCCCATCACCGTTTCCAATAAGAGTCATATCGCGGTGGGAGTTTGCCTCTCGCAAGTTCTTGTGACGTGCAGTGATCTTTGAAGAACATTCTCGTCTCTTCACACGCCACTCAACTCTGGCCAACTGCACAACAGCAACACATCACATGACGTCTTCAATCGTGAGCGTACGATTACGACCAGCCGATCGCCATCGTGGTGTTGAGAATGTTTCAGCTGGGGGGTGCAGGCTCGCGGCGTCTGAGTGGGCCGGTTGGTGGTCGCCAGTGTGGAGGGCGGCACTAAGGGAGGCCGCGCATGCAGGCCAAGCCCAACGCCACAAAATGGCGCCGGCCGTCCAGGCTTGGACGCATAATTGACTTGGGCTAAGAAGAGTACCTTGTTCCACACGGCGAGGGTGAGGTGTAAACTTCACCGGATGGTGATCAAGGCCTGGTAGGTTGTGGGTGTTGCTGCCTAATGTTACGCTGCGGAAGACGTTATAGTGCATGCCCGTAGGCTTATTAATTACTAGTCTGCTTAATCTTATCTCTTTTGCCTACTTTAAACTAAAACTAAGATACATTTTACTTATTCTTATACTCTTTTTTAAAGATTATCTATAAGCATCTTAATAGCCTCTTTATTATTAGTAGTAGTATTATTAGTAAGAAATTTATTATAAAGTTATTTAAAAGCTTTTAGCTTTATAAGTGTAAAGCGCTTAATAATATTATTAGTATTATTAGAGATATAGATAGCTATAACTTTATATATAGTAATTACTTATAGCTTAGTAGTACGCTTCTAGCTAATAGTAAACTTATACTTAGTAACGTAGTTAGAGAACTCTTTCTTAGAAAAGTTAGAGATAATAAATAGTTTATATTTATTAAAGCTAAGTCTTAATAGCGTTAGGTAGGCACAAAGCTTTAATTACGCTACTATCTTAGAGTTCTGTATATAAGTAAGTAAAAAAGAAATAATGTATTTATAAAGTTTTATTCTATCTCTTTAGGTACTAGTAATATATAATTATAGTATACTTTAGTTATTAAGTTAAGATTTTTCTAAATTTCTATAGTTAAGAAACACTAAAGCTAAGGCTTACTTAGACACGTAATGTGGGTGTTGCGTAGACTATTGAGTCCACGGGTGCGATACCTAGGTAGTGTATCCAGGATCGTATTCTGATCCGAGGCTTCCGATGTTAGTGATGCTGTTGCCTGGGGGCGCAGTGCAACATTAACGTGTTGTTGCTGCTGCTGTTGCGCTGCTGTCTCGCGTGGTGCCACCTACTCCCACCACGTTGACTCCCCGCGGACAGCCGGCAGCGGATGACATAACGACACTGAGACGACTTGAGTCGTTAAACGTTTGCTGGCAGCGACTTAGCGGATGCGCCCCTTGGCTAGGACTTAGCGAAAGGCCCCATAATGATGTAAATTGCGCGAAAAGCAAACCTTGGGCGCGCAGCTGGCACGACGTCGTCCAGTGAGGCAGTGGGAAGACAGTCGCGATATGAGGGTGACCATCGGTTATGTCTGCTATTTTCATGTGAATTGCTTTGTCGAGACTTTTGTCTGAGACGCAAGGGCAACATCGCCAATTCCGGCAAGGAGGTGGGCTGACCGGGTTCCCCCGGCTAGCGCGGCTTAGGCCAGCCCGTACGTGTGGAAATGCGCTGAATGACTGCTCCCCCCGAACTTCGTCGTCGCTGCCCTTCATCACAACATCATCGCCGTCTGGCACACCATCCCCTCACCTTCCCCCCCCACCACCGCCTCTCCACGGCCTTTTGTAGCCCTGCACGCCTGTAATACGCCCCTCTCTCCTGTATTCACGAATTCTTGCCCGGGATTTCGTGCTGGTGCGGCTGTCTCTTCCTTATCAACCTTGAGTGGCCGATCATCGCGCCTCTTGCCCTCCACGTCACCACTTCAACGGCTTAACTGCTTGTTGCTTCTCTTCCTGCACTCCTTCGCCCGCACTTGATACCCCCTACCCGTTTTAATATTCTCTCCTGCACAACTTGCCCTTCGATTTTCCCGAAGACATAAGTCGCGCATTACTGTTGTTGCGCCTGCTGCAACGTCATCCTGCAGCCTCACTAGCACTCGACGTCGATGCGCACGACCCTCACAACTACAGATGAGCTCTGTTGGTTTTAGGCTTCCACTTCTTTCACAATGCAGTCCATGTTCCGCCTCCCATGGTGTAACGAGTCGCCTGGCGACAAGATCATGGAGAAGTCGACGCTCCACAAGTCAAGACCGCTGCCGGTCGACATGCCACACTTCATGAACAACATGAATAAGATCAAGCGGAAACGGACTGACAGTCCTGAGCCAGTAGCCAAGAAGTGGAAGGGCGCGCATGGTGAGGTGAGACCGTCGACGGTCAACGCAAATGCCAATGCAAACGCGAAAGCTGCGACCGACAATGGACGTCTTGCGGACGCACCCAGGCCTGCTGCTGATGTTTTGGATGCCCGACCCAAGGCACAGCCGAGGAAAGAAGGCGCAAGCAAGAGCAAGACCGCGAAACCTCAGCAACCGACTGCCAAACCTGACTCTATCAACACGCCATCGACCACCATGGACTCCGGACTGACCCCTGTGCAACAAGCCATCGAGGCGCAAATCAACTACGAGATTCTGCTCAAGCACAACGAACTTCGTTTGATTGAACAGGAGCTCGCCAAGTGTCAGGTGTCTCTCGAGCAGCTGAGGCGTTGTTCGCTCATCCCGTTCCCTGGTACCGAAGGCCTCAGCGAGGATGTCAGTCTCGGAGTTGGTGCTTCGTTGCAACCCAGCTCTGGCATGACAGAACCTCAGTATGCTGCTCCCTGGGGAGTCACCGATGGCCCGTACACTCGCCACTACGCAAAATGGTTGATCTCGGACGCCAAGTTTGACCCCGTATCTGAACGCGCATTCGCTCAGCAAGCTCAAGGGTACTTTGGCACTGGTGAAGGCAGGACGACGCGCGGCAGCTTTGCTGACTATGGGTCTCACAGAGGCCGCACGTCGCGAACTTCGACTGGAATGTTGAAGCTCACGCCCCTTGGTGAAACTCCAGCACCAGCGCCCAAGGTCGACCCGTTGTTGCACAAGCGATCGACGGACGGTCAATGGGTGCGCCTGTACTGCGCTCCGTGTGGCCACAGCAACTTCTCCAACACTCAGGGTTTCCTCAATCACTGCCGGATCAAGCACACGCAGGTCTTCAAGAGCCACGACGCTGCAGCCATCGCATGTGGTGTTCCTGTGGATGTTGACAATGTTGGTACTCCTGTTGCCGCTGCCGCTGCCGAACCTGCGAGCGCTCCAGTTGCGCCTCCAGCCGTGTCATTCCCTGTTGTTGCCACTCCCGGCATCGTCCACCCCCTAGCATCACAATCTGCGCCCGTCCCGCAAGCCCGGGAGGTACACCGTGATCAGAACGCTTCCCCACGTGACGATTCCAAGGTTACCACCCCGGCTAATTTTGCCAAGTCATCATCGACGCCCTACCTTGCTGCCCGATTCGCCAACAGCGGCGCCCAAGGCGACTTCAAGGAGCTTGTCGAGACTGCCCGCGCAAAGGTCGACCTGGACGCCATGGATGCCTCGGATGACGACAGCCCGGCCCCGACCCCCGTGTCAGCAGTGCCGCCGCATCTAGCGCGCCTCCCTGCCAGCGGACCCGCAAGCAAAGCCCCATCAGCACGACCAGGCAGCAAGAAGGGCAGCAATTCCAGTCACGCGCGCCTGCCGTTGTCGTTCCCGTCTCCCACCAAGTCTGAAGGCGATCATCACATGCCAAGCTCACCGGTAGATCTCAGCCCTCACACGGTCGAGTCGAACCCTGGGCTTGTCAGCGATCACGACGACGACGATGATGAAGACGCTGACGATGCACATAGCCAGCCTGATCTTTCCATCGGCGGCGACGACGTCCTGGTCGAGGATGCGAGTGACGTCGAGGGTGTGCAGGAACGCAGGGGTTCACGACCAGCACTCCATGGATGCTTCGAAAAGGGAGAGGGAAGCCGGAAGCACTGAGCAGCGAGAGCGAGTTAGGTCCGGCTCACGCTGTTGCTGTTTCTCCATCCCCTTCTCCCCTTACGAAGTTACTTGTCATGGAGCTATGGTATTCTTTCTTTCTACTCAACACCGGCGGCTTTTCTCCATTCTTCACTTATACACGGGTTACCAGCAATGGACGGAGTCGGTCCGGCTGGCGAAGGACATTTTAACATGTTCTGCTTTTTGATCTTTGTTTTACCTATCCTCTTATCTGCGTGTCACTGCTGCTATTACTACTACTGCTGTTCTTACGGAAATGCCTCAAAATGTGTCAGAAACTCTCATCTCACGAGTCGAGCGAGTCGTTTGCCCTCTCTCCTCTCTCATCAAAGAAGGGAAGGAAGGTGGCTCTCTTTAGTTTAGGCGCTGGAAACGTCGTGTATCATCACCTTTTGCTATATGTACGAAATTGGGTGGTGTCTCTGGTTGGTGGTTGTTGTTCTATCTTTTTTATGGGATGGATCGGGTGGTTATTAGATGGAGATGGATGCTTTGGGGGTTGTGCTGGTACACTGGCATTTGGCTAAAATGATGGCAAGGAGTGTGAAAGCTTGCTTGCGCGATTTGTTTTGCTGCCTTATTGTATATAACCTTTTTAATCTTATGAAAATCTTGTTAAACACAGTGGACTGAATGAGTTTGTGTGATTTTGGTGTTGTCGCTTCTTGTATGCCGCCGTTGACCGTCTATGTGATGGTTGACTTCGACGGCATACGTGACTGGTAGTTTGATCGGCATGTCCATTGCTCAGTTCCTGATGCTGTTCCCGTAACGCCTCGCTTTGTAAATGTGTCCTCCACTGATGCCTCTGTTCGCCTTTGCCACGATGTATCCTCCTACAACACAACCAGCTCAACTCATAAACTGCAGTACCTGTGTATCGTCAGCATCCTGTCCACTCATCCCATCCTCTGCCCATCCCATCCCATCTCCTTCTCCCCTCCCCTCCCATTCCCATCCCTCCCCCTCTCTCCCTTCCCTCCCCCCATCCCTCCCATATCTCCCTCAGTTCAATTACTCACCGCCATAACAACACAAGCCAAACTAACATACGGGCTCAGCCGCTCCCCCACTCTTGCAGCTTTCCACACGGGCGATATCCAATACTTCTCCTTGTTTCGGTCGAGAGGGCCTGGGAAAGTTGCGTGTGCGTATGTGGCCGTGCAGATTGTGAGAAGGATTACGAGGAGGAGGGATTGGAAGTTGAAGAGGGCTGTCTAGGGGGAGTTAGTAGAGGGGAGGTGGTAAAGAAGGGGGGGGATGGGGGGAGGGGGAGGGATGGAGAGAGGGAGAGGAGAGAGAGGAGAGAGGGGAGAGGAGGGGGAGGGGAAGGGAGGACTGACCATTGTGATGGATGTGGATGTGGATGTGAAGGCGGAGTGTTCGTCGTGGTGGGTTTGGATGTGCGTCGGATGGTGTGTTCGTAGCTCGTAGCGTCTCCTTGTATATCTCAGCGTAGATGCGCTCGTAGTCAGAGAGGTTAGGTAAAAGGTTGCTGCCTAGTGAAAGCGCGCGCTTCAGGCCAGATTGTCGCTTTCCTGTAGTCGCGTACGTTGGTTGCGCCCGCGGACAACTGGTCTGTGCGCACTCCCGGCCGCCGCATGTGGGATCGTCATTGCAGCTCGCGCAGCGCGCTAGCTATTGTCGCTGGAACAAGCGCGACGGAGGATCGCGACTTCACCTCAACCATCGAAGAACGATTATTACGGCACCGCGGAAGCTCATCATACGGGTGTTAAGAGCAGGAATTACACGCGATTATTACGGATAGCGGCGACGAAGCAAGGATCGAGAAGTGCGCTGAGAGAGAACGAGGCAGTCGGACAACGACAAAGAGCGCGAGAAGCACAACACCATGACAGAGCCACGTATGCGCCTGCGGCAAAAAGGCCAGCAGTTCCCTACGCAAGACTGTAAGTCTCCATACCTCAACCCATCAGCACCTCCACACGCCTTTCAACCAACTATACTAACCTCCCCCCAGTAGAAGCCTTCCTCCTCGCCTTCGGCGACAACGACTACCCCCTCCCCGAAACCATGCGCGTCCTCGACGAAATCATAACCGACTACATCATCGAAACCTGCCACGAAGCCGCGTCCGTCGCACACCACGCACGCCGCGCCAAAATCAAGCTCGACGACTTTAAATTCATGCTAAGGCGGGATACGGGGAAGTTGGGTAGGGTGTCAGAGATGCTGGAGACGGATAAGGAGTTGAAGCGGAAGAGGAAGGCGTTTGATACTGATGAGGGGGCGGTGCTGGTGGAGAAGGATGGGGAGGGTAATAATGGGGGGGAAGGTGGTGGTGGTGGAAGGGAAGGAGGGGGAAAGTTGGGGAGGCCGAGGAAGAAGGTTGAGGGTGGGGAGGGGGATGGAGGAGGGGAGGAACCGAAGAAGAAGAAAAAGAAGAAGAAGGTTGATGGGGGTGGGGATGATGCTAGTACTGTGCGGAGTGGATGAGGGCGAGGGGTTTGATGGATGGCTGCGGCTGCAACGATGTTATGCGGCTAAGATTGCGGATGGCAGCGGTCGCGATGGATGCGCAAGGCATACGAGCAGTTATACTGCAGCTGCGTCCACGATGTGTCTTGGGAGCCATGAAGAGCCATCAACCCATCACTATCGAGCGGAAGAGAATCCTCGCGTTACTAGCGAGCATACGGCAACTTGATGAGTAGCGATAAGGGTTTGTGCATTACTAGGAGTATGGTCATTCCGGATTGTGCGGGTTCACTGGCGTTTATCATGGATACCCATCGAGGTCTTTACAGCTTCTACAAAAGGAACAATCATCATTGCTTTCCCAATACATCTTCGAAATCGGTGCTCTTATGGTCGCAGTCTTATGCATTTTCCACAATTTCTCACCGCGTTGTGAACTGTGACAATGGTCAGCCCTTGGAGCTTCAGAACCCTGACAGGTCGTTGAACGCTGAAGCGAAGTTTCAAGAGAGGGTGGGATTGGCGTCGTGCAACAACGATCAAGGCCATCATACTATGACACAGTCGTACGTGTTCTAAATGGGACTGGATAGATGCTGCAGAACCACGCGGGGCTGCAGGGCTGGGATGGAATTTTGGGGTTGCGAGATAAGTGGTACCACCGAACGACGCAAAGACATGTTTTTTTTTATTAGAGGAAGGATACGGAGATGTAATTTGGGCACATTCATTCATTAGAGGAATTATAGGGAGACATAATTTGGACTCATTCAAATAGCTGGAAGACACCAATAGATGAACGTAGAAGGAGATGTGTGTATTATCGCACTTTCAATTATGGGTTTATCCGGGGTATCATCCATCCTTTAACGACGCCAAACGTCTTCCCTGCCAGCTCAACCATGTAACGCACCATCCAAAAGTCCTTCATCCGCCCTTCCATAACATCGTATGTCGCTCGTCTCCGCACCAGCTCAGCCCGCGCATACGCCTGACTTCAAGAGCGACCACCTCATCGGTAACCAATATCAATCCAACTTGTCGAAGAGCTTGTATCGCAAGCCTTCTCGCACACGCTCTCGCTTCGCATCTTCCACAATCTTGATCCTGTCCTTGACGTTCTCCGCGCCGTCGTCCTTCACCTCGCCCTCAGCCCCAGAGCCCGCCCTCCAGACCGCCAGATCGTCATCCGCAGCCTTGTACACGGACGATACATCTGACTGGTCGTGGTGCTTCGGATCGGGCTTGTCGGGTACTGTGTGGCCAAAGAATTCGAATACGTCGCGCCGGAAGGCGGGATCTTGGTGAAGGACGTAACCGCCGAACCAGTCGGATTTGAGCGGCTGTGTCGCGGTGGCCTTCTTTTGACCTTGGAAAGCGACGTTGGCGGTTGAGCCTTTCCTGGATGCGGCGGAGGTTGGTGTCGGCGGTGGGTAGCTGCTGGGACCGGGTGAGGGCATGGGTGTCCAGCTGGGATTGAAGTTGCTCTGCATGTTGGCTGAGGGCTGTACTGGTTGCGGTGGATGACGAGCGTGAGGAGGTGGAGCGGACATGCCGTTGGTCGCGTTGGTGGCCTTGGTGACAACTGGTTGTGGTGGGCGTCGGGCGTGAGGAGGTGGAGCGGACATGCCGTTGGTCGCGTTGGTGGCCTTGGTGACAACTGGTTGTGGTGGGCGTCGGGCGTCAGGAGGTGGAGCGGACATGTTGTTGGTCGTGTCGGTGGCCTTGGTGACAGAAGAAGCTGAGAGTGTTTAGTTTTTACGTGAAGGTGCTAGATAGGGAAAGACATCTCACCTTCACTACCCACCTTGATGCCTAACAGAAACAGCACCCCCTCATGCGCGAATTGCGAAGCGGTGCTTCGTACCAGCGGCTCTGTCTGATCGACCCAGGCGGAAACATTCTCGCCGTTTGCCTTCGCGGCTACGGCTCCCTCTATGAGTTCCTTGTAGCATCCCCAGTCGGGGCCGAGCTCTGCTCGTAGAGCGACGAGGAGAAGGTCCAGATTCCCTAGCTTAGCCGTCGCTGTGGTCTTTCGCTGTTGGCGGCGTGTCATTGTGGCCATTCTGGAGTAGAGTACCTAGGGGAGTGAAGCGGAGGGCGGAGGACCTGGGAGTGAGAGAGTCCGGGAATATATGCGGCGCTAAACGTGCCCAGCACCAACCATGCTTTCTGCTTCCTATTGTGATATCATCCAGCCATACCACAATAGTGAAATAAAGAACCGCGATACCGAATTCAAGGACTTGAGGTGTTCCTGGATATGGCGACCGCCGTACAATAGCGACGCCCTAAGGATCTCTGAGTGACGCAAGGCTGCCGTATCGCCCGGGATGGGAACCTACAGGAAGCAACCCATATACTCCCATACGCATTGACTGCATCTTAACTCTTCGCAAATGGACGATGACCCGAATGAGTCGAACGTGTATACTCAGCACCATCAACCAGCCCGTGCGCGATGTTCCCGCAATAGTTCATGTCCATATAGGTATCTCTCGCATCGGTATGCGAGGTGCGCGCGATCAAACAGAAACCAGCATGAGGTTCCTGTACATGACGCAGCCCGCCTCCGTAACCCGACTCATCCTCGTTGCTTTACTCATCGCCCATGCGTGCGCTCGCTCGTCGTCGCACATCGACAGTCCGGAAAACTGGCACGTGCCAGTACCATGGCTGCAATGCAAACACATCACACGGCTTCCAGATTGGGATACATACTCTTTACAAAGTCGAATTCGGCGGCCAGATCGTTGAGCGTAGCTACACCAATGGGCTGGATTGAGACATCGATCGCACCTGCCTGCGCATCATTTTGAACCATGAGCTGCTCTTCAAATGACTAATTCACTTCCATAGTCTGCGACATGTGCGTCGGGTGCGAGAACAACAGCTTGCCGGCTCTTTGATACGACATCACAACCCCGCCGGTGGCCTTCACGATCATAGTCAGGCTGGTGGAGGAGGGATAGAGCGTGGACAATGAGCTGAAGGCGTCGGACAGATGGGACCTAGTGAGCGTCTACGTATGGAGGAAGGGTGGCACGCAATAGTGTACAGATATCTCATGGTTGATGTCGAAGAATGGAGGTTTGCCTGCGGGTGGTTGAAGGTCCGTCGGCATCGGCGGTCGGAAAAATCTCGGCCGACGCGGTGGTCATGGCGTCTTGGTGCGGCGTGATCTTACGCGACAACGGCAACACCTGGGCAATCTCTCAACCTTCCACCTCTGCGAAAAATACACCAACTTGCCGTCGCGATGACTATCGAGCCTAAATCCAACTCCACGTCTTATGAAAGTGATCTGCATCACAGCCCTGGTATTCACAGATGCAGCTAGGCGAACCACGGTGGCCGCTATTGGCGCGAATGTCGCCTAGGTCAAGACAACGCTCACAGTAGATGCCTGGCTTCACGTGCAGAAGCCCTCTTCCAAACTGGAAAGACAACTGGATGATTTCCAGTTCTTGTCAGCCATGACCCACCTTGCCGTACTCAGCCTGTGCTGGAGACCATGGAGATGCGAACGATACCCAGCAACACGGCATCTGCTAATTCACAAGATCAACGAAAGATAGATGAGCCGCGTGATCAAGACGCTTTGTAAAGCGACGAATAGATCAAGTGGTGTTTAGCTTGCCGTGGAATATTTGGTACAGTACGCGTCATCATGTCTTTTCGAACCGTGCGACGACCAAACATATTCACATTCCGAGGTTCATCGTTACGTGGCTGAAGGCCACGCGCTACGCGAGTGAATATCGTCACACAAAACTTCGTTCGCTGGACAGTTAACGCTCTCTTTGTCTTCCCCGAACAACTTCCACTTTTTCGTTCTCTATCGCACACATCGCACGACGACAACCATGCCGCTGTTCGGATACGGTAACGCCCCAAAACCGAGCGCTCAGGAAACCCAACAACCACAAGACATGAACGCCCAACGACTGAGACGCGAGAACCGTCGGAGAAGCAGTGAGCTTCGGCAATCCGGTGAGCAAAGCGCTCAGGCACCCACGAAGGCAGAGGCTTCAACAACCAAGCGAAGCGATACCCCGACCCTTAGACAAGAAGACCCTCCGGCATCGCACAGCCTGACGCGAGAAGACATCCAAAAGTGGAGGTGAGTGCTAACGTGTCATTTCTAAACGCTCCCTGATCTGACCTAATGCAGGAACGCCACGTACGAGATCAAGGCCACCTTCCCCTACGTCGACTTATGGCCGTGCATGTACTGCCTCACCAACATAGACTTCCGCTACCGAGAACGATGTTCGCGCTTCCACTGCGAGAACCCCGAATGCGTTGGCCGAGGAAAGCTGCAGGTCACCTGTTTCTGGGACATAAAAGCAGGGATAAAGAGAAACGAGGATTAAGTACGGGTGGTGTGGCTTCATACGATAGGGTGACGATCCGAGCGATGCGTTTAGGTCGGTTTTGGGCGCGCCCATGGAAGCGCATCGATGACTTCTAGACCATCGATCCAGGCTCCGTGTGGCCAAAGCGAATCCTTCCAAGGCTCTGATGTGTCGACAAATATTACGCTCAGCTCGCTATCTTCTTCGTCTGCCTCAGATTGTTCGCTGTTCATACCGGTTGGAGAAGCCGACGATGTCGCGGGGCCCTGACGCAGGGTTGGCCGAACAAGCTCCGTATTCGCCATGGTCGGAGGAGGAGCTGCTTCAGGGGACTCTTCGCGCATTGTCGCATCCGCGGCGGCCTCTGACACGGCTTCCGGTGTTACGTTTTTGCCTGGAGTAGCGACGTTCTGCTTGCCCTCATGCGACTGCGTTACCGGTTTGTCGTCTTCATCGTCTTCAGCCGCCGTTCCATCGCCCGTGATGGGTATCTTGACCAACACATTCTCCCGTTGCTTATCGATCTCCGCATTCATCAGGTTCGCTAGTCGGTTATGGTCCTTCGAAATACGCGGAAAGTCCTCGTTCACGAACGCTTGCATCGCCTCGGCCGAGTCTCGAGCTCGATCTCGACATGCCATGATGTCGCCAAAATACTCGCGGTAGACTGGACGCACGGCGGAAGGTAGCTTCTTTGTAGTACTGACAAAGATGGCTTGGACATGGTAGGGTATTAAAAAGGTGAAGCCTCTGGATGCGGATGAACTGTAGTAGGTGTAGTCTGTCATGGTTGAGCTTTGAGCCTTCGGCTTGATCGAATGTTGAGCTCAGCAGCAAGTGCTATTGGGACCCAATACGCTAGAATTATAGAAGCTCGCGCTCGCTCATACAAGGAATGCTCAGTGTAACTATAGGCAACATCCATCACGAGGGCAACATTGCAGTGAATTAATTTGCAAGTATTTCATTACCACAGTCAATCGTCCCATGGTACTGCGGTGACGCGACGCAGACGAGCGACTCACAACTTCCGAATTCCATATGCACCCATCCAATCAGGTCCTCTCGAAAAGTGAAGCATCGTCAACACAAGAGCTTACCACAGTTAAGCGCCTACAAGCCGTCTAAACTTTCTAAAGTAACCATCAACGCACCGGCTGACAGCTACAAGACACGCAACGACCCTCTTCCGACGTCTCGTAAACCCCCGTTGACGCCTTCACAGCACCAAATTAGACTTGCAGCCCTACTTCTTCCGGGGATCAGCAACCTTGGCCTTGATGTATTGAGCCCCAATCATCGTGTCGTTCAGCATGTCGAGTGCGCGGCCGACTGCCCCTGTCGGAATACCCACAAAAGCATAGCCCTGCTTGATGACGACCTTGTAGACGGCGAAGCCCTCGAATATGGTGCGGATTTTGTAGTCTGTGACGTCGTACGGGAGGTTCTCCAGTTTCAAGTCCGTGGTATCAGTAGGCGGGAGAGCAGCAGGTGCAGGAGTAGGAGTGGCGCTGGCAGAACCACCAAACGCAGCCTTCTGCTTCCTCTTATCCTTCTCCGATAAGTCCACTTTGATGGTGCGACCTTGCCACTTGACGCCATCTTTGAACTGTGCGAGTATGGAGTTTGCTTGCGCTTGCTGAACGACAACGAAGCAAAATGTCTTGCCTGGTAGTATATTGACGTCGGTGATGGGGAAGTCCTTGAAAATCTCTCGCACCTCTGTCGACGAAATACCGACCTTCACGCCACGGACGAAGAGCGATACGTCCGTAGCGCTGGGCTCCTTGACAAGCAGTTTATCCATTTCTTTATCGGGAACGCATCGAGCATTGAGAGTCGCGTTCTTCCAGTAGGTACCCGCGTACTGGCGTACTATTTCGACCGCCATCCACGGCTGCGCGAGCTGCAAAAGACCGACTCCTGGGTCGGGTGTTTTGACTTGGAGGATATTGATGGGCTCGTAGTAGCCGTAGTCTGTCGGGTCTAGACGCTGGTTCTGCTTGGTGACTTCGACGTACTGGTCTCGTACTGACTCTAGCAACTTGTTCATGTCACTCAGAGTGTGCTTTTGTGGAAGACCGGTAATCTCAACAGTGCGCGAGTCTATTTGGTGATCCCGGGCGCGGACGAAGTCGGAATAACGATTGGTGGCGAATTCGGGAATGGCTTCATTCCAGAATGAGGTCGTCATCTTCTTGCCGGTTGTCCCGAAGTGGTAGCCTTTGTGGTTCTTCTCAAAGGTTGCGGCGACGTCGGGGGCCTTGAAAATTATCCAGGCGGACTCGCCTCCTCCCGCTCGTGTGTACACTTCGTCGATTTCGTCGTCTTGCAAACGTAGCTCGGTGAAGACGTAGGAGGACTCGCAGTTGGAGGGAAGGTCGCTGAGCAGGACTGTAGACGACATGGCTGATTGTGTGTTTCGAAGAGGTAGTCGTGGGAGATTGTGGCTGTCGATCACCTATATGTAGACGAGTGTTGTTGGGCAGAAGTCTGTGATCGAAGTAGAAAAGCGAAAAGGGCAGATATATAGAGCGCTTGTGTACAATGAAAGGTAGTAAAAGCTCGGAGTCGGATTGTAGCCTTAAGTATTCATTCGGTCGAGTCGTGCGATGTTTGTCAAACCATCCACGCAGTCACATGAGAAGTCGTGCAAACAACGAATATGTATGCTCTGGAAGCATCTTTCATTTCAGTGGATTCTAACGAGTGTGATAGGCATGAGCCATGGTTTCCAAAGCAGAGTCAACGGTAGAAGAGGCAGTCCTCATCTGTTCCATGCGCACTTCCCGCTCTGATTGAGGCAGCCTGATGGACCTCCAATGCACATCGGCCCACGAAGGCAGCGGGCGCAATTATACTCGTAGCAATCAGCCGTCTCGTCACAGGGCGCTCCCGCTACGCATTCTGCCCTCTGGTGCACAGACAGCACTCCTGGCAACTTTGCCTCCGATGTTCTGACGGTCGGCTCGCGTGCGACGATGTCGTCAGGGACGGCCCATAGCTGAGCGTCAGATGTCACGGTGCGCCCATCGCTGAAGTAGTGATTAGCTTCATTCGCCAAATCTACTGATAGGGGGGTGCTTGGAGCAAACGTACACGCCTGACATGACGGACGGGTCCGAGCCTGTTTTGGCGAAGAACTCGGTGATTTGAGGCTCACTGAGCTGGACAAAGTCCAATACAGTGTCATGGGCTGCGTTCAAACTGCGAAGCACTCCGTCGCGTCCAAGATCCATCATCGCGCCGTAATCGAAGTTCTTGAGTGCTTCGTCGAGCGACTAGTATTCGATGTCAGTCAAGTTTTGTTTGGATGTGGCCCTTGTGTATACCTACCACGTCTCCAGTGGGCGCTGCTGCTGCTAGCAGAAACGTCGCACTGGCGGAAACGAAGATTGAGAACCTCATGTCGAGTTCGGTTTACAATAACGGAGGCTTTGTGTAGAGTAGCTGGTTGAACTGTGCTTTGCTGGGAGGATGTTCATATTGTGGGCGAGAAGTAGAGGCTTTATAGGCCACCACCTGGGCACTGAGCCTCTTCTCAACCCCTTCAAGTCGTCGATGTACAGGTTGGTGTAGACTCACATGACCGCGAGGCTGGTAAATCGCAATGCTGCGTCATGCAGGATGCTGTTGGTCAGCACTGCCTGAGTGTGCCGTCTATAAGTACGCCCCGCATCTCAACCTTTGCGCACTGCATCCTCTTCTCGCAGACACCACATCACCTGCTGCCACCACTCTATTTAACCCTTTACCCGAGGTTGCGTTTAATAAGATCTGAAGCCAGCGCTGCTCGCCTGAATCCTATTTTCTACTGCAAACGAATCAACGATGTCTTCGTCGTCCTCGCCAAAGCCGCGGAGCCAGGAAGGATCCAACGCCAACGATGAGGAACCTTCAACCGCAGATCCGAGTCAACAAAAAGGCGGAATGAAGCAGGCCGCCGCTTCTACCGAAGCGAGAGTCAAGACAAACCCGCTGGAGATCTTCGTCGACTCTATGCGAGAATGCGAAAACGACCATCACTTCCACATGATCTGCAGAGACGGGGTGATGAGAGTCATCGAATACCTACCCGGGCCGCCCGACGAGGTCACTCAAACCAACATCTTTGATGCAAAACCCATGTCACCAGAGCTCATCAAATCATGGTTGGACAGAGGTCCTTGGAGCCAGGAGAAAGAGGATAGGTTTCGCGGGGTTGATGGTAGAACGGTTTCAGAGGAGTAAGTCGCGCCTACCATCTTATGCTTATTGGGTAGACGAAGTTTTAGCTGACTTGACGCTGCGATCGCAGGCAGTGGATGAATCCCCCTGCAGGACTGATCCCAACCTTCGGCACCAAGAACGAGCGCGACGAGGAGATGAGAAAGCACCGCGAGGAAAGGGCGGAGTTGGAACGCAAGATTGCGAGTGGCGAGGTCGAGCAGGAACCAGCGATAGCCTGTATGGCCGTCCAAAGCAACTACGATCTGAGTCCTCGTTAGGATGTAGCCAGGACTTTCTGCAGGGCGTACATCCTGTTGGTGCGCGGGTCTCGTTTACTGGCTTCGGATCTGGGAGTAATATGAGCCACGAGATTAAGATGTTGGTATTGGATAGTCTATCTGAACAGCTGGGTATGCGTGGGAATGACTGTCGTTGTCGAATGAGGATGCTGATCGTATTGGAACCATGTCAAGTGACATAAGTTCATAGTATGCGACCATACAGAAGACCAGAAATTATCACGGGGCGACGCGACTCCATCCTTCTGGGAGGCTTGTGACTGAGGAACGGCTGGGACGACGTGCGCATTCGATGATACGTTGGTAGCGGCCGTGCATGGGTGGCAAGGCGCACCGTAACATGGGTATGTGTTGGTTGCAACAGGTAATCATCCGCGACTGGGAGATCAGAAGTACTCCGATGTTCTTGGAGACAGGATCAAGCGAGACGATTTGGAAGAAGGTCGGATCTGCGAACGGGCAATGCCGTTCCGGATGCGGCATTCCATTCGTGACGTTGCAGCAGACTTCGCGCCACACGGGAAGCCGGGATCATGTGCGAAGGATTCGACTACAACTGACCCCTTAGAATTACGCCCGGCAGACAACACCAAGACACCGCCCTACAAACACCGGAGATCGTCCTCCTCACTCCCGGGGAAGCCCCACCATACCAAAACTCTCTTTCCACAACCTCTCCTCACCCTCCTCATCATACGCCCACGGCGCATACCCCTCATTAGCACTCTCATACATCCCCTCCTTCCTCGCCTCCTCCTCTCTTGTCCCCATCTCCGCCAGACTAGCCAGATACCTCCCACCCTTATCCTTCCACTCCCTACTCACCGCAGCATAAACCTGCGTCGCAGCCCCCTGCTCCGCACTCTTGAACGTCCGCATTATCTCGGGGTCACCAAACATCGCCTGTTTGGTCTCTTCAGACACATGCACGCCAAGGCCAGATCCCTCGATGATACCGCCTGGATGCACAGACGTAGCGTGTAGATGGCGGGACGAGTAGCGGCGCTCGATGGAGTTTGCGAACCAGATGTTTGCTGTTTTGGACTGGCCGTAGGCGTTCCAGGGTTCGTAGGGCGTGCTTTCGTAGTTGTAGTCGGAGAGGTGCACGGTGGACCAGATGTGCGCCAAACTGGAGAGGCTGACGTAGCGGCTGGGGTACTCGGGGGTTGCGGATGAGATGAGAGCGTCTTTGAGGAGGTGGAATAGGAGGAAGTGGCCGAGGTGGTTGGTTCCGAATTGGGTTTCGTAGCCGTCTTTGGTTTTGCCGTAGGGTGTGGCCATTACGCCTGCGTTGCCGATGACTACGTTGAGCTTTCCACTAGTCCTTGCGAGAATCTCTTTGGCGGCCTTGCGGATGCTGTCGAAGCTGTCTAGTTCCATCTCGATCAGGTCAATCTTCCCACCTCCATCGTGCTTTTCTGCGAGGATTCTGTCGACTACAGCTTGGCCTTTTGGTATGTTGCGCACGGTTCCGATAACGTGGGCGCCGGTTGTGTGTAGCGAGCGAAGAGTCTCAATACCCAGACCAGAAGACACTCCTGTGATGAGGAACGCTTTGTCGGTCAACTTCGCGGTCAGACCCTCGTCGCGAATGACTTGGAGGGCTGTAGGACGAGCGTCGCCTGCGCCACGAAGATTCGCGATCTTGTGGAGCTCGGCGTATTGGGCCATTGTTGGAATGATGGTTATTTGAAAATGAAACCGGACTTGGTAAGGTTCTTGTCGACGAAGTCACAGGTAATGGATGTTGATGAGGTAAGTCTTGTATGATGAGCTGTGGATTTGAGCGTTTTCGAAAGCTCTCCTTAGCCATATAAATACTACGGTCTGTGGAAGACATCTAGTAACACAGGTTAGCATCAGCTTTGCTCCGTTTATCTCCACGTTCATCTCTTAACTCCATCGCATAATGGCCCGAATACGTCTTGCCTCATGGCCAAAATTTGGTCCGTCTCCGGACGGCGACAATGATAGTGGACTATTTGACCCCGTAGATGCAAGATGCGCCGCATTGCCCAGGCTAAGAAACTCACATGCAGATAGTTGAACTGGCCATCCCACGTAAAGTAACACGGTGTATACGGCGTCTTCGAGGCTTGGATGACATGTTGCGGTGGCTTGGAAGCGATGACGTCAAAGCGAGCGAATCGCAGGTTAATGCGAGTTTCATCCGAAGCCACTCGTGCTGACCGGCATCATCTGGGCACGCATCTCATACATTCTATTTCGCCGCAAGGTACCGAAGATGGGAATTGATGCGATGGGACTTGTTTGTAATCGGGATCAGTATCCTTGTTTGTTCTTCACTCGAAGTCACTACACGTCGTGCCTACTATACAGACATGTCTGACAGGCTAGCTTTTGGCGCATTACTTGCCTAATTCCATTGTCTTAATCTTCGCCCCATGTTCACGTCCACTTACTCATCTCTACACGCTTCCAAAACTCTCCCTCTTGACAGCAAGGAAAGTCAAGCTCCAAAGCTGGCGAATGTTGCTCTCAGTCGCGGTCAATGAGCCCAGCTGCTCGATCTGATAGCCGTTGTCGTATTTCCAACTCCACACTTCATGGCTTAACTGGTCGCGGTTGGCGTCGATCGTATCCCAAAGGCTGTTGTATGCGGCGAGGACCTTTTCATGGACTGTGGAGTCTGCGCAGAAGTCTACGGATGCTGAGTTAGCAATCACAAGGTGGAGAAACGTGAGAACATCTCAGGATCTCGACTTACCAGGCGCACCCTCCTTATCGCATCGACCAAGTTGTCGCGCAAGTCCAGCGCCCATCATGGCAAGCTGCCAGCTCCATACTACAGTGCCGTGGTAGTCGTCCGTTGAGAAACCTGCTTCGAATGTCGCATTCCCGGCGTACGCGGGGTTCGCGACGAAGAGTCCAATGTCGCTCGATAGGCCAACCGGGAAAGGTTGAAGGATGTGATCGGCGGTCTGGCTTATGTATGCCGTCAGCTGGGTTTGGTTCGTGGTGTCGAGGAGGAAGTGGCGGAAGCAGTCATCGCTATTGATGACGGGCACAACGGGTGCACCGACTTCGCCGTCAAGGGCAACGCCGTAGTATGTGACATCGCTTGTGATCTTGTCGACATTTGTTGGAAGAGTAAGGTTGGCGTTCGAGACGTAGTCCTCAACAAGAGATTTGGCGTCGGCCTGCGGGACGGTGACTTCGAAGAAGCGTAACGTCTCATCCTCCCAAATCTGGGCGTACTTGTCAGCCTCTTCGCACCAATCCGGGTGGTCGGAGAAGAAGCCCGCGCGGCTCAAACTTGCGATAGCCCGAAGTCCTGCTGGTACAAGCGCGGTGTTGACGTTGTACGGGATGCGACCTCCTCCGAGGCCATTACTAGAGTCGCGCCACTCGCCGACTATCTCGCCTTCGTTGAGGTGGATGAGGTTTTCCTTGACTTGACTCTGCGCAAATGGTGCAGCAATTCGCATGATCTTTTCGGCGGTGAACTGGGCCAGCTCAGAATACGCCAGTCCGTCGTTCTCGACTAGGAATGTTGCAGTCTGGCTGAAGAAAGCATCCGAACGATTCTTTCCAGCATCCGTATCCACGAAGTAGCTGTTCATGGAAATTGGAAGCATGAAGTCCGTGTCGATCATCTTGTAGTCGCAGGCAGGTGCGCTGGAGTTAATTCCCTTCTTCTTGTTCAGCCAAGTCGCGTAGTCGCCGAGGACCTCCTCGTGACACACAGTACCATCAGTGCGATTGACTCGCTCGAGAACAGCTCCAATGACGGCTTCGATAGCCGCTTCGCTGAGAACAGGCTGCATCAACAGTAGGGAGAGCATACTGTCTCGACCGAAGTAGGTGAGGAAGCGCCATGTGCCAGCCAGTAGCTTGTTCGAGTATGAGAGGAATGACAAAGACGTGGTTTGGTCCGGGTTCTCTGCAATCAGGCCGGAAGACGCGTCGTTGAGAACTTCTTGGGGGCTGAGCTGCTCGAGTTGCGGATAGTTGTAAGAGGCTTCGAAGCGGTAGCTACCTTCGCCGAATGTCAAAGTCCAATTTGCGTCGCGATTCAGCGTAATGGCTTGAGCACCATCCAGCGGTGAGAACGTCAGCGTCGTAGTAGTCACACCGTCAAACCAGGTACGGTTGATGGAGGCGCTCCCGTCTTCGTTGATCGCGAAACCGAAATTGTTTTGGAAGTCTTGACTAACGCCTGAGCCTTCGGTCTGGTCGCGAATAGCCCGTATACTACCAAGGATAGGTTGCGTCAATCTAGCAGTAGTGTTGAAGTTGATCGATGCTGACACTCCAACGCGATCCGAAGCATTCAGTGGCTGGACTGTTTCTCCGTTCCCGGACTCCTCCAGACTGATGTTTAGACTGCCTTGGCCACTCTCAGGCGCGAAATACGCCATAGCCCCACTGTTACCAGCAGGCCATGCCACGATAAGCCGAGGCTTGACGACACTGGTGTTGCTGTCAGGCCTGGGAGTTGTGACAATGACATGGGCGCTGGTATGACAATCAGAATAAAGGTAGTTCTTCTGAGGTCCGTCCTCTAGATAGAGTCTTGAGGCCGCTTCTTCGCATGGCGATGAGAGCTCGTCAGTCGGCGGAGGTGAATACGTCGCGGAACTTTGAGGGTAAGCCAGGACGGTAGCTACCAGGGCCGCTGACCCCAATACCGTAATCGCGACCATAGCAACTCTGAACTCGTTAGTTGATATATCTCGCATGGATGTAAACTCCCTATATTAGGCTCCTTTACTTACTTGGTGATCCAAAAGATTGCCTAATGTCTTTGCGCGTGGTTCGTTGCTTTTACGCGCGCGGTATGTGACTGGAGCAATTCGCAGTTCAATCGCAGTAATTGAAGTTCCAAGAAAGGCCTGTTATTACGGATGAATCACAGTCGTCGGCCCGTGCTTCCAAACGATAGCTTGTCACGATGACTTCTTTCCTGGTCTCTGGTCGCCTTATGTACGCCCTGTTCCTTCGGCCCCATGCGCCCT